TGAGCCACCTTCCCAGTCCACTTTTCTTGTTTATTGTAGTTTTCGTATTAGAGATCAAGACAAAAATTTAAGGAGATAGGATATCATTCAGGTATGTAAAAAAAAGAACCTATTAGGCTGTATGTGATGAATGGAGTCCTATTTTGGGGTGTCTCTGTTACTCAGGCTGGGTCACGAACTCCTGATCTCAGTTTCTTTTTCTTTTCTTTTTTGGCATTAAAAAAAAAACTTTTGTGCTCAAGGTTAGTGCTCTACTTTCTTTCTTTCTTTCTTTCTTTTTTTGTTGGTCATGGGGCTTGAACTCAGGGTATGGGCACTGTCCCTTGAGCTCTTTTGCTCAAGGTTAGCATTCTACCACTTGAGCCACATCTCCACATCACTCTACTTCTTGAGCCACAGCTCTACTTCCAGCTTTTTGGTGGTTAATTGGAGGCAAGAGTCTTACAGATTTTCCTGCTCAGGCTGAATTGGAACTGTGATCCTCAAATATCAGTCTCTTGAGTAGCTAGGATTACAAGTGTGAGCCACCAGTGCCTGGCCTGAAGGGTTTCCTTTTAAACATACTTCTGGCCTCCTGCCCTTTCTTACTTTATTCACACTCTAGAAATAAATGATTTAATTGATTAATACATTTGGAAGCATTTTTCTGGCTCCACAATCTTCTCTCTTAGAAGTAGGTCTAGCCAAGAGAGAATATTCTGACATCATCTCCCAGTGAAGACAGTCCATGTAGGCAGGCTAAATATCCCCACGTACTTGTACTTACCTTTGACTTACTTCACAACACCTTTGTTCCTAATTATCTTTTACAACTTTCAGCTTAGTTACCATCTTATTAATAATTAATTTTGAATTCATACACCTTAAAAGAAAAAATATTGCGGTTCTGTTTCCTTGTCTATGGAAAAGAAATGCTTAATGCCTACAATAAACCCTTATGTATCTATTTGCTGGGAGTTAGATTTGCTCTACTGTCTAAATCATCTCACCAGGAAAGTATCAACCATTCCCTGATGACCTGACAACATTCATGACCCAATTTTAAAGAAGGTAATAATAACTAGGGCCAGATGAGCAGATGCACCACTTTGTTATAGGAATGTTGATACTGTCTATGAAACTTGCTATTGTAACAGATAGGATAACAATACTTATGCATTCCTACAAAGACAGGTATAGGCTTACATCTCTTCTAACTTACAAAAACAATGGCCGTACTCTGATCAAAGAATAGAAGATAAGAGAAGGAAGACAAATATTTTCTAATAACTCACTTCATCCAGGCACTAAATCCTCTGAAGTGAGAAAACTGTGATGGCAGAACTCAACTGCTCAGGATCACTTCGTAGGTAGTAATTCCAACATGTGAATCTGGACCTGACTCCAAAGCCCATGTACATTCCACCACATTACAAAACCTTTCACAAGCCTTGATTCCTGCCAGACCACCTGCCATAGTATTCATGACTTAGATCTTTTTTTTTCTCCCTTCTTACAATTCAATCCAGCCTTAAGCCAAACTTCTAGGTCTATTTTTCACTTCAGTTGTCTTTGAAACAACCTGTGCTCTCTCCTTCATAAGTTTTCTAGCTCTTTCTATCAAAGAATCTATTTCCCTTCTCTCTCTCTCTGTTTTTCTATGATGACGATGATGATTATGTCTATCCTGGGGCTTGAATTCAGGGCCTGGGCACAGTCCCTGAGCCTTTTTGTGGAAGGCTAACACTCTACCACTTGAGCCACAACTCCACTTCCAGCTTTTTGATGGGTAATTGGAGATAAGAATCTTACAAACTTTCCTGCCTGGACTGTTTTTGTTTTTAGTCGGTCGTGGGGCCTGAACTCTGGGCCTGGGCACTATCTCTCAGCTCTTCAGCTCAAGGCTAGCACTCTACTACTTGAGCCATAGCACCACTTCCGGCTTTTTCTGCTTATGTAGTGCTGAGGAATCGAACCCAGGGCCTCATGCATGCAAGGCAAGCACTCTACCGCTGACCCACCTCCTCAGCCACCCCCCATTCCCGCTCCCCAGACTGTTTCTGAATCTCAATCCTCATTTCTCTGCTTCCTGAGTAGCTAGGATAACGGGCATGAGCCTCTGGCACCAGACTTATTTCCCTTCTCCTCCACTGTGGAATGACCATCTGACTTGCTTTGACCAGTAGAAGTCTATTATTATTATTATTATTATTATTTTTACGGTCATGGGGCCTGAACTCTGGGCCTGAGCGCTGTCCCTCAGCTCTTCAGCTCAAGGCTAGCACTCTACCACTTGAGCCACAGCGCCACTTCTAGCTTTTTTTCTTTTTGCTTATGTGGTGCTGAGGAATCGAACCCAGGGCCTCATGCCTGCAAGGCAAGCGCTCTACCACTGAGCCACCTTCCCAGCCCACCAGTAGAAGTCTATAGAAACAACACTGTGAGAGTTCTTAGTTTGGGCCCCAAGAAACTTGGCAGCTTCTGATTTTTTTTTTTTAAACTTAAACCTTTAAGTAGTTGTACAAAGAAGTTGTACTCAACAAAGCAGTTTATGAATGCTACATCTTGATTAGTGTCACCCCCTTTCTGCTTTTGCACTCTTGGAACCTCTGCCACAAAATGAACTCAGCTTGAGTGCGATGGTGAGTTAAGACATCACTCAGAGCTAAAAAGAATTGTCTCAGCCAAGTTTCCCCAACCTAAGCCAGTAGCTATCCTGGCAGCTGACCACAAATGATCCCTGTCAAGACTCAAAGTCCCATCCAGCTGAGTAGGCTCAGCCCTAATTGCCAACCCACACAATTGTGAGCAGAGTATGATGTGGTTGTTGTTAGCTTTTATAAAAAATTAACTTACATTAGTTATACAGAGGAGGATTTCACTGTTATACTTCCATGCCTGTTTGCAATATATCCCAACATATTTTAATATATGTGTGCAACATATGTTAAGCCACTAAGTTGGGGTGGTTTGTTGTACAGCAAAAGCTAACTAATACAGCCTCTCTGGCCTAGATTCAGAGTCCTAGTAGCTACAAATAATAGGGGCTAGGTCTAAAGGCCACTGACAACTTTACTGACAATGGCTTATTCATACATTGTGCTTCTTGCAAGGCCAGTCTGATTCAATGCTAGAACTCCTTAAACCCAAACAGAGTAGGTCTCCAAGCTGCTGACAATGAACTGATCCAGCCTCTCCCTCCTTCTCAAACTCCTTGTATCTTAATGGGAGCCTTCTCTATATTCTGTGTCCTCAATAAAAATTTCTGAATCAATAGAAGAAAGATTATTTTAACCTACAGGGAAGCTAAAAATATTCCAACTACTTTGAAGCATAGTGTAATGATGGCCTTTGGAAATAAGATTTGGCAAATTTTGCAAGTGAAGGACAGAAGCCACACACATTGGCAACCTCAGGACTTCAGAAACTTAGTCTTCAAGTTTCAACGAGATTTGCTCTTATTTGTTTTGTTGTTGTTGTTTTGGTTCTGGAGCTCAAACTTAGTGTCACTATACTACAGCTACAGACCCTCAACACCATGAGAGTTCTTGTTTTTAAAAGCAGATATCTAGAATTAGCAATTCAAATATGTACAAAATGCTTTGTTTATTTTTTGCCAGTCCTGAGGCTTGAACTCAGGGCCTAGGTACTGTCCCTGAGCTTATTTTGCTCAAGGCTAACACTCTACTCCTTGAGCCACAGTGCCACTTCCAGCCTTTTCTATTTATGTGGCACTAAGGAAAGAAACAGGTCTTCATGAGTGGTAGGCAAGCACTCTACCACTAAGCCACATTCCCAGTCCACAAAAGGCTTGATGAACTGAAATTTCTGAGCATGACTAAGTTTTAGTACAAAACTCAAAACAAGCTTCATATCTAACTGGATGGTGTTCAAACACAGAGTAATGGTAAATTCTTGCTACTGCTTAGCATATCTCTGGAACACCATAATTCTGGAATATCCTATCATAATTTCCCAGAGAATGTCACTTTATGGATAGAATAGGCATCATCTGGAAGAGTTAATTGTTAAAACTAAATTCACTATGCATTCCCCTCTGTATATCAAAATGTTTTTATTGCTGAGGGCTGGTGGCTTAAGCTGTAACCCTAGCAGGTTTGAAGTCATCCCGGGCAGAACAGTCAGTGAGAATCTTCTCTCTAATTAGCCAGAAAAAGCCAGAAATGGAGATAGAGCTCAAGTGGTAGAGCACCAACTCTGAGATCATTAGATCTCATCAGATTTTTACATAAATGAAGGTTTCAAGTTTAACAAAGATATAAAGCTAAAGACAAGTAATAGTGTTCCATTATGATAATAATCCTCAACTAAAAATGACTAAAGCACAGAAAAAAAGCAGTACCTCTTACAATGACCCTAATTTAAGATTCTAAAGTGGAACTCGAAACTTAAAGCTGCTAAATCACTTGGAAAAATTTAATTGTACCCGGTGACCAAGTTGAATAATGATGCAGTGGCATCAACTTGACACTAGCTATGTGCACCTGCAAAATCAGGTGGATCACTTTTGGAAGGTGATAAGGATGACCTACAAGCTGATTCTGAATATTTTCACAGTTGGAATGGGAGCCAGGAACACAAGATTAGCAAATGCAAGTCACAAATACAGCATGTGACAGGAAAGCTACTGAGGTATACTGTCTCAGGAATAATTTCTGTTCTCTCTAACACTCTCTCTAGTGGAGCCTACTGTTTCTCAGACCTGGGGGGGGGGGGGTGCTCTAGGACAGGCACTCTATCAATTCTCCAAGTGATTCTAATTTCATTTACTCATTCAACCTAAGCTTTCCGAGTACCTACTCTGCTAAGTGTCATTTCTTTGTGTGACGATTCAGTTACATACCATTCTGAAAGATAGGGGGGAAAAAAGCTAAGCAAAGGAAAAAACCATAACGTAAGGGATTGCTTAACCCTTGTGCATTTGTGAAACACACATCTAGATATATTATTTCACTTAGTAAGAGTTAAATGAAAAATGGAAAAAGATCTTTCACTTGTACCTGTATCCTAATTCTTCACTGAGATGGATCATATGAAGGATATACGATTCCTTGCTTGTTCCAGTGAGGCCAGGCAACAACAAGATAGTTGGTCTGGTGCTGGCATCCATATAAAGGGTACTGTTATCATTATCAAACCAGTCCAGTGAAATCTGCCCTCCATCTTCAGTTTTAATAAGTTCACTGGAAGAAACAATTCAATAGGCATTACTTATTAAGTGTTGCAAGTTCTGTCTTAATTTTAGTGTTTAATTCTAGAAACATATAACACCATTTAGTCATCTCAAAATAATTTTCTTCAGCATTCAGTACCACACACAACTATACACTTTTTTTTCTTTTTGTCGGTCATGGGGCTTGAACTCTGGGTGTGGGCGCTGCCCCTCAGCTCGTCAGCTCAAGGCGAGTACTCTACTGTTTGAGCCACAGTACCACTTCCGGTTTTCTAGTGGTTTATTGGAGATAAAAGAGTCTAACGGACTTTCCTGCTCTGGCTGGCTTTGAACCACAATCTCAGATCTCAGCCTCCTGAGTAGTTAGGATTACAGGTGTGAGCCACCGGCGCCCAGCTATACCACTTTTTTTTCTTTGTGTGTGTTGGTCCTGGGTTTGAACCTGGGCTTGGGCACTGGTCCTTGACCTTTTTTGCTCAAAGCTAGCCTTTTACCACTGAGCCACAACCCCAATTCTAGCTTTTGGAAGGCTAATTGGATGTAAGAATCTCACAGAATTTTCAGCTGGCTTTGAACTGTGATCTTCAGATCTCAGACTCCTGAGTAGCTAGGATTAGAGATATGAGCCACTGGCTCCTAATGACTTATTTTATTACAAAGATGTTATAAAAATTAGTACCATAACAACTATCCAGCAGACCCAGTAAATGGTAGTATATAAAAATAAACTTCAAAGCACTTCAGTATTTGCATTGAAGGTGTGACTTAGTTGCTCATCATATGCAAGGCTCTGTGTTCTAGCCCCAGTATGGGAGGGGGGGGGTGAGGGGAGGAGAGAAGCAATTCTAATATTTACTTCAATCATCTCAACATTACCATAAAATATCTAGCACTTAACCCCTACTTGATTTGACTGAGGTCACTCAGTAACAAGAAAGTATGAATAAGAAAAATGATGATCTGGGCTGAATGTCAGTGGCTTACATCTGTAATCCTAGCTACTCATTAAGGCTGAGTTCAAAGTCTGCCGGGGGAAGATTGTCTGTGAGACTCTTATCACTAGTTAACTACCAAAAAGCTGGAAGTGGAGCTATGACTTAAATGGTAGAATGTCAGCCCTCAGTAAAAAAAAGAAAAAAAAAAAGCTAAGGGACAATACCCATACCCTGAGTCCAAGCCATAATACAGGCACCCAAATTTGAAAAACAAAAACAAAACAAAACAACCCCCCCACCAAAACCTGATCTGATCATTGCTCTAGCTCTTTTGACTCAAAAGTGCAATTTCCCCCATTGAGTATAGGATAATATTTGTTTCTCCAATTATACTTCTCACACCATACCCAGGAGCTTAATAGACTTTTCTCAAACACTGCAAGTTTTCGGCAACAAAAGAAACTCCAAAAGCACTCAATGACTCAGGAAAATGAACAACAGGCACCATTTATATCTCCTGCTATAACATATTCCAGATGATCTCTCTAACACCAGGGACATTATCATCAGGAACCCATTTGCTGTTCAATATGAAGCCCTAAAAATCAGTAATGTTTGACATTTTTCTCACCCCCTACCCTAATACCTGCTATGCATCAACAACTTAGTGCATATCAACGAAAGGATCTTGTTCTTCACGGACAGATGCACAACGAATTGGAAAACAGTAACTCCAGGCATTTCTCTCATTCTAGAAATAGCCATATATACATTGGGGTAGAGGGATAGAAAAGGGGAAGTTAATATCTGAATATTTTTCTGCAGCTGGAATGGAGGCGGGGCGAGGGGCATCTCTCCCACGTCCCTTCCTCTTTCTGTTCTGCTACAGACTTACTAAACCACAGGTTCTCATAACCAGAGCACTGGGGAGTGAGTATGCTTTTGGAGATCGTTTTGAAGGAAACGATTGAAAATGGACATTTGCTTACTTCCTGTAGTGCACCGGAGGCTTGGAGGTGATGAAAGGTCTGAGCAGCGTCTGTCCTCGACTCTCCCAGCACCAGACGGTCGGGTAATACGTTTCGGTCAGCACGGGGCAGTGGTCCTGGAGGAAGCGGCTGAAACTCTCACCTCCCGTGACTAACTGGGGTTTCTGAAGGGGAAAATCGAGTATTTCACGAAGGGTGTAGAACCAAGTTTCTTCCCACCTTAAACCAGCACGGTTACACCAGCGCTGACTTGCCCCCCATTCCCCCCCCCCCCCCACTTCCCAAACCCCGCTGGTGTGCGCGATCCCACCGATGACATCTCCTGGAAGAACTGATGAGAAGAATGAACATCACAACAGTCTTCCATCGTGGTTTAACACCCCCCCCCCCCCCCCGCCACCACCACCACCACACACACCGGGGAGCGGGGAGAAGCACGCTCCAAAGCGCTCCAGCCAGCATGCTGGGCAGCCCTGCCGGGCAGCGCCAACCCATGGAGATCGGCAAAGTCCCCTCTGCGGTGCGAGGACCCGGGACCCCCTATTCCTTCCCCCTCCCCCAGGCAGACGGTCAGCGGTCGCCGGCTCTCCCAGGCGCGCCCTCCGGGCTCCCTCCGACGCCGACCTCTCGGCTCGCCCCGGGGACCGCCACCGTCCGGGGCCGGGGTGCCCGGGCCCTGCGCCTCGGCGCCCGCGCCGCTCCGCGGCTCACCTTGGCAATGCTGCTCAGGTAGTAACAGGCGTAGGCGACGCTGAAGCCGAGGATCAGGGATAAGCCCACTCCAGAGCCGAAGAAGCCAACCCGCACTTGGTGCTCCAGGTAGAGCGAGAGCTCCCGGGACAGCATCCGCAGGTCCATGGCTCAGCGCTGCCCGGCCCCGGAGCGCCGAGGACGGACACCAGCCGGGGCGGCGCGCGCTCACCCTCGACTGGAGCGTCTCCTGCCGGGCGGAGCGCCGCGTCCGCAACCCCGCGCCGCTGAGGAGAGCGCCCGGGGAGGAGGCGTGGTCGGGGCCGCCCCCGCCGCCGGCTCCGCCCCGGCCTTCCGGAGCCGCCCCCGCCCTCAGCCACTCAGGAAGCTCCGGAGCGCGCGGGCCTCGCCTGGCGGGCGGACCACGGCCCGGGTGGGTGGGTGGGTGGGTGGGTGGGTGGGGGCGGCCCTGGCTGGGTCCCAATCCGCAGGGATCGGCCCCTAGAGTGGGCCTCGGAAACACACCTGGCGGTGCGGGTCTAGGTGCGCGGCCCGCACCTGCCACAGTGACCTTGACCTTGATCGTTCCTGCCACGGGTCTCGGTGAACTAGGGGTGGGCCAGTGGACTCTGGTGGAAGAGAAATGGGCCTCACATTCCAGAATTTGGGGCGGGGGGTGGAAATGGGGTAGGCGAACCCACTACCTAGTGAAAAAGGGTCCTGCATCTCCCCTCCTCCCCAACCCAAGAGGAAAATATGAGCGTCCTATACACCTCGACTAGCAAGGATCGCCATACTCGACCCTGAATCCCTGGTGCCAGTCTTCTTGATAGCTGACCTAGTCATTCTGAAAATAAAGCAAGGTCAAGAATAGGAAACAGGATTCAATAGTGTTAAAACCCTATATGTGGTTCATTAGTGTTTTCAAGGTAGAGAGAACCTATGGAAATTAATACCAATTACCTAGTATACAGACAGGAAATCGTTTATGAAACAGACTGTCTTAGATTTATTTATGGAAACATGAGAAAAGTCACAGGCATCTGTAAAGGTTAAAAGATTTGACAATGTGTTGCCCTGAACTCCTCCTCTCAAAGGTAGTAAGGGTGGAAAGACTTTAACAGACAAAATAGTGAAGGTCTGTCCAAAATAGTGAATAGTCTGTCCAGGTAGGCGCTGGGGGCTCACGCCTGTAATCCTAGTTACTCTGGAGTCTGAGAGCTGAAAGTTCGAAGCCAGCTAGGGCAGGAAAGTCTGTGAGATTCTTATCTCCAATTAACCACTAGAAAACTCAAAGTGGCATACTGTGTCGCAAAGTAGTACAGTACTAGTAGCCCTGAGCTAAACAGCTCAGGGACATCATCTAAGCCCTGAGTTCAAGCCCCACGACTGACAAAAAAACAAAAACAACAAATAAACAAAAGGAGTCTGTCTATATTCTAAAGAATTATAGACACAATAATTACAGATACAAGGATTATGACTCCTTCCCAACACAACCAACTAAATCCTTTAAAGTGGAACTATGACGATCAATTTATAGATCAGAAAATGAGAGCTCAGAGTTGCATTCACTCACCCAACCAGTTTGTTTTGGAGTGTTTACTAAGACTGAGAGGCCAATGATAAATAAGACAGACTTTGCAGTTAATAATAGCAAAAGGTAAGCAATTAAATTACAATGTGTGGTGATTATCAAAGTGCTTGGAACAGGGTGGGAGGGACGAGATGCAGTAGTAACAGAGGCAAACTAATTTGGTCTTCTTGCAAATAGAAAAGAAATATATTAGAAATCCTCAGATCTCAGTCTCCTGAGTAGCTAATTGTTGGCATGGGTCAATGGCTCCTGGGATTGATGCTGTGTTTAGAAAAACCAGAGAATTGTGTTTGGAAAGCAGAAAAAAGCGGAAAGTGGTGCTGTGGCTTAATAGGTAGAACAATAGCCTTGAACAAAAGAAGCTCAGGGACAGCACCCAGGCTCTAAGTCCAAGCCCCAGGACTAGCAAGAAAGAAAAGAAGGAAGGAAGGAAAGAAGGAAGGGAGGGAGGGAGGGAGGGAGGAAGCTGATCCTTTAAACCACGGTTCCCTCTAAGCTTCACTCCATGGTTTTAGAATATAGACATCCTTTTCAGGCACAAGGCAGGACAACTTGCAACAGCTACAATCTGATGTCTAAAGGAGATCAGAGAAGAATCCCTAAAAGAGATGTGAGCCAAGACCCAGTATTTTAGTCCACTTTCCGTTGCTACAACAGAGTAGTAGAGAATAGGTAATTTACAAAGAAAAGTAGTTTGGCTTATGTTTGGGAAAGCTGGTTGCATCTGGCAAGGACCTCATACTTTGCCATCCCATGGTATCAGTGAGAGGGCAAGTAGGCTGTACAAGAAGACAAAAATACATGGGTTGGTCTTATAACACCCTGCTCCCCCAGTAACTAATCCAATCCTATGTAATCTGACAACTCTTAATATGGTGAGAATTAACTCCGAAGTAAAGAGAAGGCAGAGGTGTTTTCTTTTTGTTTTTAATTTTAATTTAATTTTTTTTTGTGGGGCTTGAACTCAGGGCCTGGGAACTGTCCCTTAGTTCTATTTTTTTTTCCCCTAAAGGCTAGTGTTCTATCACTTTGAGCTACAGCTCCAATTCCGGTTTTTGATTGGAGATGAGTGTCATAGGGACTTTTCTGCCTAGGCTAGCTTTGAACCATGATTCTCAGATCTCAGCCTCCTAAGTATCTAGGATCACAGCCTGAGCCAATGGAGCCCTGTGAAGGCAGAGTTTTGAAAGAAGAGGAACTGTGTAGGGATCCAGAAATGGAAGGGCAGAACAAATTAAGCAAATAGTGAGCTGGAGTTTACCCTAGATTTTTCCAAAACTTGTTTTAGCAACTATAGTGTCGCATTCCAAAATCTTATTGGCTTTGTGATCATAAATAAGCAAATAAATAAAAAGAGGAAATAGTTATTTTAAAAGTCTTCTTAAATTATATATGAATATTTAAACTACAACAACACATTGTTTATATTCTCCCCACCCCCTCTCAGTATGTGTGAGTTTCTGGGAATTGAATTGAGAGCCTTACATATGTTAGGGAAGTGCTTTTCAGTCAAACTGCACCTCCAGCCCTATGCTTATTTTTTAATTATTAAAAAAACCCCAACAGCCTGGAAAGCTAAGCAGCAGTAATAGAGCTAAGCAAAGCCTTTAGTCCTTGTAAAATGGTAAATAATAATACTCATAAAACTTTTTTCCCTTATTGCTTTCTGATTTCAAGGAGAAATCAGAATTACATAGAGACTGTGTGGTAGACACATGTTCAGATAAACCCCCATTGATTTCTGATGCCCTTCTTCTTGAGTGCTAGGAGGACCTGTGATTTAATTCTAACCAATACAATATCACAAAGGAATGGATGTCACCACTTCTGTGATACACTGCCATCTTAAGAGATGGGAGCAGGAGATTGTCTTGAAGAAGCCAGCAGCCATGAACTCTAAGCAGAGAGCCACAGAGCAGGTGGCCTCTAGGATCAGTGGGTGAGTGCTAGCTAAAGGTGACTATGAGGAGAGACCTTAGCCTTATATCTGTCAAGAAGTGTATTCTGCCAACAACCTGGACAAGCTTGCAAGCAGACTTCCAGATGAGAACACAATCTGATTTCAGCCTTGTGACACCCTGAGCATAATATCCAGATAAATTATGCCTGGATTTCTGACCCACAAAGTGTTAGATAACAACATGTTCTTTTAAGCTGCTAAATTTGTAGTAAGTGTGTGTGTGTGTGTGTGTGCGTGTGTGTGTGTGTGTGTTGGTCCTGGGGTTTGAACTCAGGGCCTGGGTACTGTCCCTGAGCTTTTTTGCTCAAGGACAGAAGTCTATCACTTGAGCCAGAGCTCCACTTACAGCGTTTTGGTGGTTAATTAGAGATAAGACACTGCCTTTCCTGCCTGGGCAGGCTTTGAACCATAATAATCCTTGGATATCAGCTTCTTGAGTAGCTAGGATTGCAGGTGTGAGCCACTGGTGCCCCACTTGTGTAAGGTAATTTTTTTTCCTTTTTTTGGGGGGGTCCAGTCGTGGGGCCTGAACTCTGGGCCTGGGCGCTGTCCCTCAGCTCTTCAGTTCAAGGCTAGTGCTCTACCACTTGAGCCACAGCGCCACTTCTAGCTTTTTTCTTTTTGCTTATGTGATGCTGAGGAATCGAATCCAGGGCCTCATGCATGCAAGGCAAGCGCTCTACCACGGAGCTACCTTCCCAGCCTTTATCTAGCAGTAGTATACTAATAGAAAACAACAAAAGAAAATGTCCAACAATCCACTCAATGATTAAAGCTTTTAATGGTTCATCTTTTGCCTACCAAAGTATCTATTATGAAAATATTTTAAATAAGTTAAACTTTTTAAGCTTTCAATCAATAGTCAAAAGTAAGAAGCCTATTAAGAGATTTTTTTTCTTTAGATTTGTCTGTTTGATTACCACAGTGAAAATTTATTAAACAGTAAAACAGTTATTTTTTAAAACATAAAACTCATGGTGAAGGTATGAATTATAGGAAAAATATAGAGCTAAAAGAAAGGCTGAAATATTGTAAGATGTAATGGAAGGTGAGTTTGTTATTTATCTGTTTTTCACCTATATTACGGGGGGGGGGGGGGGCCGGGGAGAATTCACTGTTACATTTCTATACAGGTAATTCTGTATTCTGATTAATTTCACTCCCTGGAAGATGAATTTTAAATAGGAACTGTCCACAAACTTTGTGTAATATGTCATGTTTAAAATCTATTTATATTAATATACAGGGACTCCATCTATAAAACAGATATTCCAGAAAGACACAAAAGAAACAGAAAATAATGTTTGACTTCAGAGAGTGAAAATGGGTCACTGGATAGGAAAGGTAGGAGGGAAATTTGTCACTATCCTTTGAAACTTTGTGTCATGTGTATTGACCTTTAAAATTTTTAATATCAAATTGCTATTAGGAATTTGCAGGGAAAGGCAAAGAGAACTTTATTGTTTCAAGATTATAAGGCAAACCACAAAAGGAATTTTAGCTTTAATCTTCCAAACCTCTGAGGATTGTATCAATTTGCTGGCTAGAAGTTACAACAAGGTCTGTGGTTGTGGAAGTACATTACTGGGATTCTCCTGAGTGCTTTCCAAAATATATTGTAAGAACAGAAGAGCATAAAGATTTACTGCTAGCCGCACCGCTGTCATGTCACTTTGCTATCCTACAAAGACTGTTTTTATTATTAGTGGTATGGTTGTTGTTATTAT